ACGTTCTCGCATGATCTCTGGAAGAAGTATGTGCCGACCGTGAAAGTTAGTCTATTCTTTTTTTGCGGAGAATACGCTTTTTGATTGATTTACATTTTAATTTCTGCAGTTTTCCCGTACCACTCACAAACGATTGTGTTTTTGTTGCGGTTAGATCCGTAGGAGATATGATTTGAAAGTTGTTGTTTAGATATGCTAAAGGTGCCATTCGGTATGTAATTGCTCGATGAAATTAAGCATTAAGCTGAATTTTGAAGCTGACATTGGGTGATTTAATGCTTCCGAGGTGATATTTTCAGCATATTGGTCCAGGCGAGTATGAGGCGGAAGTNTATCGTCAAGTCAACGTTATCATTTATCAGAGCTATACTCACTTGACTTTCAGACAATTTCATGTGCCTTATGCCTTATCGTTCAGGTGTTGCCTACGTGATAGCGCCAGATCGTTTCGTGACCTTCGATGGTCGTGTGTTTGCCTTCCACTCAGCATGTGAATATCTGTTGGCCACTGATCTTATGCATCAGCAATTCTCTCTGATTGGCAGTTTCAAACGAGAGAGAGCTGGCACGGAATTGGATGCGATTAAAGTGGAGATTCAGAAGGATCAAATTGTGATGCATTTGAACGGAAAGGTGTGTTTGCGTGCGATTTTTGGTTTTGTTCTATTGTTTTTGCTTAATTGAATCCATTTTTGCTCAATTCTTTTAATTTTTATTCTCATTTTCACGTGCAGATCTTATCATTGGATTTTGTTTAATTGAGAGGTATCAAGGGATTATTTGGAATGAATGATGACATTGGTATGGTTTCGAGTAGGTTGATAGAATTTGAGTTTTTCAACATGTTAAGGTCTTCGCTCCATTTGCGATGTTCAGCTCTTGTTTACGATTACTATCATTTGTGGGTTGGCTAGAACCTTCGGCTTTAACGAGATTAAGATGAGATAAAGATAATCAAGATAGCTTATCGTTATCCATTTCAAGGCAGAAGTTGGCGGTCGGGAAGTTTCGATGCCATGGCAAAAAGTCGATACAATGGACGGAAGTGCATTGGTGTCGATTCATCGTGAAGGAGACTGGACCATACTCAAATCATACATTGGCGTTGAGGTGAAGTGCAATTCGGTGCATCACCTGTGCGAGATCAAATTACCCGGACGAATGCACGCGAAGAGCGGTGGTTTGCTGGGTTGTAATGATAACGAACCTTATAACGACTTGGATCTCATCGATGGAACGCACAATAATGAGGTTTATCTCTAGATTATGTTGCGTTTAAATGGCGATTTTATCGTTTGCATTTGTGCTGAGTGCAGAACTGTAGCAGTGTAACTAGAATCTATACAGAATCTTCAGCATATTGCTATAATGGTTACCTGAATGGTTCCCTTATGTAGATTTATCATATCTCGTATAGATCCTCCTAGATTTATCGCATACCTTTCACTAGAAAACAGACTAGAAAGGGAGGAAGGAAGTCGGTGAGTATTTGATTGTAGGCTCGGATACGATTGACTGATATTTTGACTGTCTGTTAAACGTATTTATGACTCCAACTTTCAACGTCTTGATAGAATATTTGCTCGATAGCGTTCGTCAGTTGTCGAAATTGCAATCTTGTGAAACTTTTCCAGAGTTTTCGGATTTTTCTGATATTTTTTCGGATGAAATTGCAAGTTTCAGACGAATATCTTGGCTGAACATTGGGCTGTACAAGGCTCTTGCCGTGCCAATGAAGCGCCACCGTTGCGTAGCCAAGAGAACGAGAAATGCGAGGAGTTGTTCATTTCATCAGGCAGTTCGTTGAGTGATTGCTTCTCACAGGTTTGTTTCGCTCCTTCAATTGGAGAATGTGACCGATTCTGATGGAGGAGAACTTTTTGAGGAACTCTCCTAAAATTTACAGGTGAATCCACAGAAATTCGAGCAGATCTGTTCATCGGACCGACCGGAGCATCAATGCAGAGCAGTGTCGGCGTTTGTTCACGTTTGCACTAATAACGGCATTGATCTATCACTTCCAAAACCATGTGGTAAGCATTTTGAACGAATTTCATTTGTTTGCTTCAATGATTTCTCGATGTTGCTGGCGTTTTTATGAAAAACTTTCATCAATTTCCACTGGAAAAATCGCTTTTGCGCTAGCAATTTTTGGAAAACACCAAAACATACGTACGTAAAAGCTAATGTTCCGGAATATCTTTCAGTGCACTGTGAGGATGGTCTGAAGATGGATGAAGAGATAGAAGTGCCTCATGCGGGTAAAGGACACGATATTGTGTTCGTTGTACAGGAGAAAGCTTGTCTGGATCCATACAAACAGAACATTGCTCGTATTGCGCAGGCAATCGGAAGTCAACAAAGGTCTGTGCATCATTGTTTGAATGGTTTTATGCATTGATTTCAACTTTGCGAGTGAATTCACTCAAAATTCTATGAGATCTATTCAGATTCTATTAAAGATTCGTTATCTGTTGAAGATTCGTAAAAACTATTGTATAGGAGGTATTATTAGCCACGATGAATTGATATTATTGAATATTCTCATCAAAGTATCTATCGCTAAGATGAACGTTTTGAAGGGATGCACGTTTCGGTTGGATCGGCTATGGTGGCGAGGGTATTCACCATTCACCACATATCCATTACGGGCATGATTCGGCACTTCTCGACATGAACGCGTTCGTACGTCAAACCCAACACAAATTCGAGAGCGAATCCGGTTTTGAGCCGAAGCCAATGTGCACTCTCGAAGCTATCAAATATGCTGTGGAGCATTTTCCGTTCAGGTCTCACTGATTTCAAGAAATTATTTCCATTGGACACACTCTCTCTCAATTTCGGCAATTTCGTTTTGGTTTCGCTGATAGTAAATGAATGTGAAACTATAGTGTTTTGATTAGTGTCTCAAGGATATAATGGTAACAATGAGAAATTAGCCGGAATGATCGGGTTTCTTAATTTTCGTAATGGATCGATGAGATCATTATTAATCGTAAAGTAAAAATCATAAGGTAACGACTGACTGTATTGTTGTTTATTTAGAGGAATATTTGTCAAATTGCAGGTTGGGTGCAGCAAAAAGTATCGTGTTGGTAACGTGTAAACCATGCATTGGTGGTTCACATTCGGTCAGCCAATCGGAACTGCAGGAGTTGGTGATAAGTCATGTAAGTTATTGATCACCTTATTGAGTTTCGGTATTTCGTCGATTGTGCGATTAATTGTGGTGATTTTATTAATTTTTCAATGGTAACAGAGAATATGAATGTAGAAAAGTTTATTTAAACTTTTACGTGTTAATATGTGAATATCTCACGAAGATTTTCATTTCGACTGTTATTATTACAGGGAATAACGATGCATATGCTTTCGTTGGCTAAGATCAAGACGTCCGACAAGGTGCAAGCAGTTGGTGAGTTTGTTTGATTCTCAGAACAATCATAACATCAGTAATGGATAGATTCCGAAAATGAAACGTCTGAGAATATTGTTTCTTAAAAGTTTCTTGAAAATCAACGAATGCCTACAAAAAAGCTCTGCAAAAGAGGAATTTCACGTGAAATTCGACGGTAATATCAAGATTTCATGTGAATGGTTGTTAATGTCGGATGAAATTCTGCCCGAAAATAGTGAGTGTTTTAAAGGAATGGACGCCGATCACTTATTCAGCCCAGCGGGATCACCAGTGGGCGATCGATCGAACGTACTGAAACCGAGCGATGTCTGCTCGGTGGTTGCCCAGGAATCACATGGAACTGTCTTCAATATCGTTAGTTTCCTCTGTTTTCATATCTTAATTCATCTAAACTATTTCACCAACTTGTGATTTTTCTTGCGGAAATATGGTATTTTATGTGCGGAGTGTTTTTCTTGAGTGTTTTTAGTGTTTGATTTGAAATTCATTCATTTAAGGTGGATAATTTTGAGTTAAATAATCGCTCAGTTCAATGAATAACTGGAATTCCAACGAATCCTATGCGAGTAGTGACTGTTTCTAATCATATGACAATTATCCGCTGTTGTTGCTTGCGATTTTGTTTGAATATCTCCTCTCCGTTCCCTTCCCCTCATCGCACTAACTGACGGAAAATTTAGTGATTTTAACGGAAAAGAAGCCAGTGATGAGCAGTTGACATTCTGAAAAATCACTCAAATCGAAACAAAAAAATGACTTTCCTTCGCAAAAAATAGATGAACTGTGCAATTTCCCTATAGAAAGGAAGAAACTTTTCGAGTAAATTACTGTGACTAGTTGCTGAAATTATTCGGCCGTGTTGAAGGAGAAGGGCAACTGATAGTGAGTGTTGAGCATTTCAGAAGCATGGCGCGAATGTGATTTCGTCAA